GAAGTAGATTGCCCAAACTTCTTTCTGAGTAGTGGCTGGTGGGTTTGAACTGTCAGCCGTCTGGTTAACAGTCAAATGCCTTAGGCACTACGCCACCAGAGCTGCCTGATACAGCATAGCCACATGAAAATCTCACCCCAGGAATATATTTGAAATTCATGACTTCTAATTTTGACATAAAGCTTTATTTCAAATATACAAGAGGACCTATGTAGATAAAGATACACTGTTTCTGTACAAAGAGAAAGAAGGAGAAATTTTTAATGTGTAAACATATTCTCAAAAATATACATATGAATAATCCTTATTTGGAAGTGATAAAATAAAAAATTCATGTACCTTGTTTTGATAGGGAGCACTTTTCCAGTCTTTGCTCATGAGAATATCCATAGAGTAGGGTCGCTTCTTTTAGTGCACTTTTATACCATTTCTTTTTATTTTTACATTTTCCTGGCTATAGAAATACACAAAAAGAATAAGACTCATTTTTAAATATATGATTTTAAATGCACTTCATTTAGCTCTTGAGTTATAACTAAATCTAATTTGGAGAACTGTATAATATATTACTCAAATTTTTGGTATCTGATTATTTCATTATTTTTTAGATATAGCATGTTAATAGCCAATATAGTCAGATAATTGAATCTTGATTACAAGGAGATTCAGTTCATACTTAAAAAGTTACAAAAAGTTAAGACATCTTTGTAAAAAGTAGTCATCACTAATATATTTTATTAAAATAACAGTGATTCTCTTTTATGTGACATTGGAATGATGTTAAAGTGGTAGATATTGAAAAGTAAGGTTTTTTACTGTGAAAGAAAATGAATTCCATTTCCATCTAGTTTTTGTCTTATGGCAGATATTGATAGTGGCTAAGACACTTGCCTGCTAACCAGACGGCTGGCGGTTCAAACCCACCAGCCACTCCTCGGAAGGAAGGTTGGGCAATCCTACTTCCGTAGTGATACTGCCTCGGAAACCCAAGGAGGGGTCGCTATGAGTCGGGGCCGACTCGACGGCACATAACAACAACAACAACAACATGCAAGTTACTTAAACTTCTATGCCCTGGTTTATTCATCTATAAAATATGTATAATGACAGTTCATACATTATAATGTTTCATAAGTATTAAATGAAGTAATAAATCATATTGTTTCCTGGTAAATACTCAGTAAGAAATATTGTACTGGGATACATCACTTTTTCTAAATGTTTACTTTGTTTTTGTTTTGTTTAGTGCCATTGGGTCAATTCTGACTCATAGAGACCCCATCCATAATTGAATGAAACACTGCCTGGTCCTGCACCATTTTCACAATCACTGATATGTGTGAACTCATCGTTGCACCCACTGTGTCAATCCTTCTCGTCGAGGGTCTTCCCCTTTTTAAAGCTGACCCTGGACTTTACCCTGCATGATATCCTTCTCCAGGGCTGGTCCCTTCTGACAACATGACCAAAGTATGAGATATGAGAGACAAAGTCTGGCCATTCTCCTTCTAAAAAAAGATTCTGGCTCTCGGTCCTCCAAGACAGATTTTTTTTTCATTCTTCAAGGAGTCCATGGTGCATTCAATATTCTTCACCAACACCACAATTCAAATGCATCAATTCTTCTGCAGTCTTCCTTATTCACTGTCCAGCTCTCACATGCATATGAGGTACTGAAAAGACTGTATCTTGGGTCAGGCACACCTTAGTCTTCAAAGTGACATCTTTGCTCTTTAACACAATAAAGAGGTTTTTGTTTTGTTTTGTTTTGTTTTTTTTGCAGATTTGCCTAATGCAATATGTCATTTGATTTTCTGACTCATGCTTCCATGTTGATCCAAGTAGGCTGAAATCCTTGGCACCTTCAATTTTTCCTCCATTTATCATGGTGTTGCTTACTGGTCCAGTTGTGAGAATTTTTGTTTCTTAATGTTGAGGTGCAATCCATACTGAAGGCTGTAGTCTTTGATCTTTATCAATAAGAGCATAACGTCTTCTTCACTTTCAGCACGCAACTTTGCATCATCTGCGTATCTCACACAGGTTGTTGATGAGTCATCTTCTGATACTGTTGCCATGTTCTTCTTCACATAATCTGGCTTCTCTGATTATCTGTTCAACATACAGATTGAACAAGTATGGTGACAAGATACAAGTCTAATGTACACCTTTCCTGATTTTAAACCAACCAGTATCTCCTTGTCCTGTTTGAATGAATGCCTCTTGCTCTATGTACAGGTTCCTCAAGAGAACAATTAATTGTTCTGAAATTCCCATTCTTCTCAATGTTATCCATAATTTGTTATAATCCAGAGAATCAAATGCCTTTTCATAGTCAATAAAACACAATTAAATATCTGAGACCTGGAGTTAGAACACCAGAAAGGGAAGAACATGCTCAGCATTTCTCAAGCCAAAAGAACTGAGGAAAAAATTTAGGCCTTGAGTTGCAATACTGAAAGATTGCATGATAGCATAATGCCTAAGGCACTTGACTGCTAACCAGAAGGCAGGCGGTTCAAACCCACCAGCCACTCCTCAGAAGGAAGTTTGAGCAAGCTACTTCTGTAGTGATACTGCCTCGGAAACCCAAGGAGGGGTCGCTATGAGTCGGGTCCAACTCAAGGGCACACAACAACATGGGCAAAATATTGAATGATGTAGGAAGCATTAAAAGATGATGGAAGGAATACACAGTCACTGTACCAAAAAGAACTGGTTGATCTTCATTCATTTCAGTAGATGGCATATGATCAAGAACCAATGGTATTGAAGGAAGAAGTAGAAGATGCACTGAAGAAATTGGTGAAGAACAAGGCTTCAGGAATTGATGCAATACCCATTGAGATGTTTCAACAAACATATGCCTCACTCCACTCACTCAACTATGCCAAGAGATTTGGAAGACAGCTACCTGGCCAATTGACTGGAAGAGATCCATATTTTGTACCCATTCCAAAGAAGGATGATCCCACAGAATGTGGAAATTATCAAACAATATCATTAATATCACATGCAAGTAAATCTTACTAAAGATAATTGAAAAATGGTTGCAGCAGAATATTGACAGAGAGCTTCCAGAAAACCAAGCTGGATTCAGAAGAGGATGTGGAATGAGAGATATCATTGCTGATGTCAGATGTATCTTAGCTGAAAGCAAAGAATACTAGAAAGATGTTTACTTATGTTTTATTGACTATGCAAAAGCATTTGATTGTGTGGATCATAACAAATTGTGGATAACAATGAGAAGAATGGGACTTCCAGAACAATTAATTATACTCATGAGGAAACTTGGAGGACCTTACACAGACAAGGAGGCTGTTGTTCAAATAAAACAAGGGGATACTTCATGGTTCAAAATCAAGAAGTGATTGCATCAAGGTCGTATGGTTTCACCATATTTATTCTATTTACATGCTGAGCAAATAATCCAAGAAGCTGGCTTATATGAAGAAGAATGTAGCATCAGGATTGGAGGAAGACTCATCAACAAAATGCAATAAGCAGATGGCACAACTTTGATTGCTGAAAGTAAGGATGACTTGAACCACTTACTGATGAGCATTAAAGACTACAGTCTGCAGTATAGATTACACCTCAACATAATGAAAACGAAAATCCTCACAACTGGACCAATAAGCAGCATCATGATAAATGGAGAAAACATTGAAGTTGACAAAAATTTCATACTACTTGGTTCCACAAGCAACACCCATAGAAGTAGCAGTCAAGACATCAGACAACGTAATGCTTTGGTAAATATGCTGTAAAAGAACTCTTCCAAGTGATGAAGAGCAAAGATGTCTCCTTGAAGACTAGGGTGCGTCTAACCCAAGCCATGGTGTTTTCAGTCACCTCTTATATGTGTGAGAGCTGAATATCAACATCAACAAGATGGTTAGACACAGCGGCTGTAATGATGGGCTCAGGTATAGCAAGGATCGTGAGGCTGGCACAGGCCAGGCAGTGTTTCGATCTGCTGTGCATATGGTTGCTATGAGTCAGAGATGACTCGATGGCACCTAACAACAATAACAAACATTCTGAGAAATACAGTCAAAGAACCTCTGGGTTAAAAATGACTAAAATACTGGGATGGGACCAATGATTTTTCCAATGCTATTTTAGAACTCGCCAAAAAAAAAGGTTTTTATAATGTTTTTATATGTTACAATTTATAAAATTCAGGCTACGATTTTTTTTTAAACTTTAACATCAAAAAGAATACTGCTGTTACTAGTTATAGAATGGAAGAAAATATTTGGCAACCCTAAATGTGATGTGGGTTTAATATCCAAAATATATTAAGAACTCCCACTACTCTATAATAAAAAGACAACCCAATTTAAAAATGAGCAAATGACTTGAATTGTCAATCCCCCAAAGAAGATAGATAGATGGCCAACAAGCACATGAAATGACGTTCGAAGTCATTATTCATTGTTGTTGTTGTTAGGTGCTGTGGAGTCGCCTGATTCACAGCAACCCTATGCACAGCAGAACAAAACACCACCCAATCCTTGCTAGACTTGAGCCCATAGCCAAAGCCACTGTGTCAATACATCTCATTGAGGGGTTTCCCCTCTTTTGTCGACCTTCCAACCTACCAAGCATGATATCCTTCTCCAGGGAATGGTCCCTTCTGACAACATGTCCAAAGTAGGTGAGACAAATTCTGGCCATTCTCGCTTTCAAGGAGCATTCCAGCTGCACTTCCTCCAGGACAGATTTTTCAGTTCTTTTAGCAGTCCATTTTACTTTCAGCATTCTTCGCCAGCACCACAACTCAAAAGCATCAACTCTTCTTTGGTCTTCCTTGTTCACTGTCCAGCTCTCACATGCATATAAGGTGACTGAAAATACCAAGGTTTGTGTCAGGCACACCTTAGTCCTCAAGGAGACATCTTTGCTCTTCAGCACTTGAAAGAGGTCCTTTGCAGCCAACTTGCCCAGTGCTATACATCATCTGATGTCCTGACTGCTTTTTCCATTGGCATCAATTGTAGAACCAAGCAACATGAATTCTTTGACAACCCCAAATCTTTTCTCCATTTATCATGATGCTGCTTATAGGTACAGTTGTGAGGATTTTTGTTTTCTTTATATTGAGATGTAATCCATACTGCAGACTGTATTCTTCAATCTTCATCAGTAAGTGCTTCAAGTCATCCTCACTTTCAGCAAGCAAAGTTGTGTTGTCAGGTTGTTAATGACTCTTCCTCTTCCTCCAATCCTGATGCCACATTCTTCTTCATGTAATTCAGCCTCTCGAATTATTTGCTCATCATATAGATTGACTAAGTATGGTGAAAGGATACAATTCTGGCACACACTCTCTTCTTGATTTTGAACCATGCAGTGTCCCCTTGTTCTGTTCAAACGACAGCCTCCTGGTCAAGGTACAGGTTGCTCATGAATACAATTAAGTGTTCTGGAATTCCCATTCTTCTC